TTCATCAACATAGAAACCTTAAACTCCACATGAAAGTTCATACAGGAGAAAGGCCTTTTACCTGCCAACAGTGTGGAAAATGTTTCAAACGAAAAGGAAACCTTAATTATCACATGACCGTGCACACTGGAGAAAGCCATTTCACCTGCCAGCACTGTGGATTAAGTTTCACTCAGATAGGAAGCCTTAACAGGCACATGAGAAATCACACTGGAGAGAAACCTTACTCATGCTCTCAGTGTGGAAAGTGTTTCGATCAGCATGGAAATCTTAAAGTCCACATTAGAATTCACACTGGAGAGAAACCTTACTCATGCTCTCAGTGTGGAAAAAGTTTTGATCAACATGGAAACTTTAAAATCCACATGAAAATTCATACAGGAGAAAGCCTTTTTACCTGTCAGCAGTGTGGAGTAAGTTTCAGAAAGAAATGGATTCTCAAAAGGCACATGAGAATTCACACTGGAGAGAAGCTTTACACATGCCATGAGTGTGGAAAGAGTTTCGATCAAAATGAAAACTTTAAAATCCACATGAGAATTCACATAGGAGAAAACCCTCTCGCCTGCCAACAGTGTGGAGTAAGTTTCAGAAAGAAATGGATTCTCATCAGACATATGAGAATTCACACTGGAGAGAAGCCTTACACATGCCTTCAGTGTGGAAAGAGTTTTAATCAACATGGAAATCTTAAACTCCACATGAGTATTCATACAGGAGAAAGGCCTTTTACCTGTCAACAGTGTGGAAAAAGTTTCAAACGAAAAGGAAACCTTAAGTACCACATGAGAATTCACACTGGAGAAAACCCTTTTACCAGCCAACAGTGTGGAGTAAGTTTCACTCAAAAAGGGATTCTCAATCGGGACATGAAAATTCACACTGGGGAGAAGCCTTACTCATGCCCTCAGTGTGGAAAGGGTTTTCATCAACATGGAAACTATAAAATCCACATGAAAGTTCATACAGGAGAAAACCCTTTTACCTGTCAACAGTGTGGAAAAAGTTTCAACCGAAAAGGAAACCTTAAGTACCACATGAGAATTCACACTAGGGAAAAGACTTACACATGCCATCAGTGTGGAAAGAGTTTCGATCAAAATGAAAAGCTTAAAGTACACATGAGAATTCACACTGGAGAAAGACCTTTCCCCTGCAAACAGTGTGGAAAACGTTTCAAACGAAAAGGAAACCTTGATTACCACATGAGCGTACACACTGGAGTAAACTCATCTACCACCAGTGTGGAGTAAGTTTCAGAAAGAAATGGATTCTCAATAGGCACATAAGAATTCACACTGGAGAGAAGCCTTTCACTTGCCCCCAGTGTGGGATGAGTTTCAACCTTAAAGGAAACGTTAGCATTCACATGAGACTTCACACTAAAGAAAGTATTCCACGTGTCTTTAGTGTGAAGAGTTTTATCAAAGAGCCCTGAAATGTGGAGTGCTGCTCAGTGTGGCAAAAGGTTTACGAAAAATTAGCAATTTCAGTTATCAGTTGTGCATTCATTCTAGAGGAAAACTATGCAAGATGTGCAAATGTGAGACCCTATTTGTGTTATTTGTGATGTCATTACTCATGAAAATACACATTGTTAGTTATATTTAAAAATGTGTTTTCAGTAGTTGTTACACCCCAAGTTTGGGACCAGTTTAAGACTTGCAAAAATAAAAAATGTTGCAATGGCCAGGGGGAAGAGATAAACAAGAATGAATATGAACTTATTTTTATATCCCAGGGCATAATATTATTTGTTGTTGTTTTATACTTTGCCATTCTATGGATATACAGTTGCAAACAGAAATATTCAACCCCTCACCTCAAAAGACATTATGGTGATATCGATGAACAATCATGATGATAAATGACAAAAAACCTCATTAAACAATACAAAATATTTATTGATGCATATTTGAGTTAATTTGACAACAGAAGTTGACTTAACTTTGAAATTCAAATGAAAAATTTAACATTTTTAACAAGTGCATGTGCAGTATTATTCAACCCCCAGCTTCAGTACTTTGTGGAGCATCCTTTAGCTTTTATAACTTCTAACAAATGTTTTTGGTAAGTGCTGACAAGCTTCTTACACCTCTCTATCAGAATCTTTGCCCATTCTTTGCCCAGATTTTCAGATTTAAATCTGGTCACTGAGAAGGCCACTCCAGGACGTTCCAGGATCTTTTTCTCAACCAAGCTTTGGTTGACTTGGAGGTGTGCTTGGGATCACTGTCTTGCTAGAAAGTCCAATGATCACCAAGGTTTAATTTGTCAATAAAAGGCATCATGTTCCTCTTTAAAATGGCCTGGTATTTCTGGGAATCCATGATGCCAGGTACACGATCAAGATTGCCAGTTCCTGCTGCAAGAACAGCCCCACATCATCAATGAGCCACCTCCATGCTTGACCGTGGGGATGGTATTTTTCTGGTCATAAGCCTGGCCAAACATGCCAGAAATACCGTTGGTCCAAATGTCCAAACCGTTCCAGTTTGGTTTCATCAGTCGATAGAACTGTCTCCCAAAACTCTGAAGTCTTATCCAAATTCCTCCTGGCATATTCTAGTCAACTTTTGATGTTCCTTGTGGTCAAGAGTGGAGTGCGTCTTGAGTCCAGCCATGAAGTCCTTGTTTGTTCAGTGCATGTCTTATAGTTGCTCTTGAAGGACTTGTACCAGCCTTCATTAGGTCATCCTGTAGGTGTCTTGCAGTCACACAGAGGTTTTTCTTAGTTGTCCTGACTAAGTTGGTACAGGCCCTTGATGAAATTCTGGGCTTTCTTCCATGGCCAGGCATGTTTGCAGCTGTTCCATAAGTTTTAAACGTCCTTATAATGCTCCCAATTGTGTCTTGGAATGTAATTTAGTTTTTTTATACCTATGGCCCTACAGGTGTGATGAAATAATCTCTTCTCTCAGCTTTTGTGGAAGCTCCTTTGTCTTTCCCATGATTGCAACTCACCTTGGATACCTTCATGGGTGGGGTTTATATATGCAGCACAGCTGAAGCAAGTCAAGGATGATTATAGAGCTCCCAAAGGCTTAATTATGTTGCAACTCCACTTTATGCCATGAAAAATTGTCAGAAAGCTTTACAAACAACAATATTATATAGTGGTTGAATAATTGTGACATTGCTATCTTAACAAAATATCCTGTTACACACAAATACTACATCATGCATTTTCTGTGTTGACTTTGTCACTCAACTCATAAAGAAGTCATCCAACACAGAATCTTGTTCTTTGAAAAAACTTAAATTGATAAATCCTTAATCTTTGGGGGGTTGAATATTTCTGATTGCAACTGTACACATTGTTGTGCATATACTGTGCGTGTATACCCATTATTTTATATTGAGAATTGTAAATACATACCACAATTTTGCTTGGAACTTTTGTGTAAGCTTGTCTTCTTTCCTTTTTTACTTTTCTCATAATTTGTTATTATTCACCAACCCTAAACTGGAAAAAGGATGTAACAATTGGGGGCTTGTCTATTAACAACAATTGGAAACTTATCCTACATTTTGATAACTAGGGGTGGGCTTACCAAGTTTTTGTTATTCAGAGGTAAGTGTGTTTGCTTGCTTGGAGGTTATGTTGGTGAGATATGGATTTGGATTTAGTAATGTTTAAAGTATGTCCTACATTAGTAGAGTTTAATTGTTGAAAAAATACTTGATAATTGCTTGACTTAAAACTAAAGAATAACATGAGACACAACCTCGAAGCTAAAATCCTCTGTAGAATGCCAGTTCTTACTCCTAAGTCCAGACCACCTTTAGCTAGTGTTGGGGAGACGGTGAAGTCTGACGTTGACAAGTATGTAAGGTTAGTGCAGTGATCCTCAAATCTGGCTCGCGAGATCCACTTTCCGGCAGAGTTTAGCTCCAACCCTAAACAAACAAACCTACCTGTGATTTTCTAATGATCCTGAAGGCATTGATTAGCAAACTCAGGTGTGTTTGATTAGGGTTAGAGCTAAACTCTGCAGGAAAGTGGATCTTGTGAGACAGATTTGAGAATCACTGCATTAGTGCATCATTTTCATTTAAAACGCATTGTGTATTTTATCACATTTGAAAGTGTAGATACTAAGCCAGTGGTGTCCAAACTTGGTGATGGAGGGCCACTGTCCTGCAGAGTTTAGCTCCAACCTGCCCCAACACACCTGTCTTAAAGTTTCTAATATGCCTAGTAAGACCTTGATTAGCTGCTTCAGGTGTGTTTAATTGGGGTTGGAGTCAGGGGCGTTGCTAGACATAAAGCTCTACTGGAGCACAGGCCCCCCCATTACTCATATCACTTTTCTTTCTTGAAAGTCAGTTGCGTGATGTGTACAATGAACCATGTAATCCACTATTCCTACGCTGCAAAAAGCACTAGGGAAAGTAAATGTATACATTAACGCTTTATGAATATATTTATTTAAGTGACTTCATATTTCACAAACATTCTTAACATGTTTTAAGGCAATCAGTGTATATGGAAATAAAACTGGAGAGAACTTGCACATTGTTTTTCTTGCACATTTGCATTCTACATTACACAATAATAATAATGAATAATCTTTTTTTAAATTTGATTTAGAATTACAAAATTTCAAGAAACCAGTCATTTTATGTGAATGAATGAATGAATGATGCATTTGCTTTCTTGTGTATTGCTATACACCCAAAGCGCTTTACAATCATGGGGGGGGGGTCTCTCCTCAACCACCACCAGTGTGCAGCATCCACTTGGATGATGCGACGGCAGCCACAGGACAACGGCGCCAGTGCGCTCACCACACACCAGCTACAGGTGGAGAGGAGAGAGAGAGAGATAGAGCAAATCAAGTGGATGGGGATTATTAGGAGGGCATGATTGACAAGGGCCAGTGGAGGGAATTTGGCCAGGACACCGGGGTTTCACCCCTACTTTTTACGATGAGTGCCAAGGGATTTTTTAATGACTACAGAGAGTCAGGACCTCGGTTTAACGTCTCATCCGAAGGACGGTGCTTGTTGTCAGTATAGTGTCCCCGTCACTACACTGGGGTGTTAGGACCCACACAGACTGCAGGGTGCGCGCCCCCTGCTGGCCTCACTAACACCTCTTCCAACAGCAACCTAGTTTTCCCAGGAGGTCTCCCATACAGGTACTAACCAGGCTCAACCCTGCTTAGCTTCAGTGGGCAACCAGTTTTGGGCTGCGGGGTGATATGGCTATGGGTTGTGGTATGTGTGGTGATTCGGTATTTTAGTGCTAAAAAAAGAACACTTGTGTCCACATTTCTTGGGCTGGTTGAATTGCAGGTGGGTGATGCAAAATCAATAGCAAAGGCAATAGTTGAGTTTCTCGAAAAGTGTAACCTTAAAAAAGAGAATCTTCAGGGTATTGGCACCGATAATGCCTCTGTGATGACTGGGGTGCAGAAGATTTTAAAAGAAGAATGTGCTTTGCCCAATTTGGTACTCATGCGCTGTGTATGGCATTCTTTACAACTGGCTGTCAGTGCAGCATCCAAAGAAACCATCCCTAGATGTGTTGAATACTTAATCAGGGAAACCTACAACTGGTTTTCGATTTCCCCAAAACGACGAGAGGCATACAAAACAGTGTATGCCACCATTAATTGTGGTCAAAAACCCCTGCAAATCACCAAAGTGTGTGCCACACGTTGGCTATAGATTGAGCCTGCGGTAACTCGTATATTGGACCAGTGGGAAGAACTGAAACTCCACTTTGAGTTGACCAAGACCAGTGAGCATTGCTACATGGCAGATGTGCTCCATGCCATGTACATGGACAAGACCAACTATGTCTACCTTACATTCTTAAAATCAAGCCTGTCCGAAGGTACAAGTTGCAGTGAAGTCATTTGAGGGTGAACATACAGATCCTGTCAAGCTTTTGGACAATCTGGTTCCCCTCTTATCATCAGTTTGCAGCAGAGTAGTCAATCCTATGGCAAAGATTGATGTCCTGAAGGATGCCATTGATGGTCATCTCAGTCCAGCACCATATCTTGGGTACCTTTTTGAAATGTCCCAACTCAGTCTTGCTCCAGAGGACGAAAAGGTCATTCGGAGACGATGCATCAACTATGTTGTTGCTCTAAGCAAGGAGCTGCAAGCAAGGCTCCCAGACTATCTTGAAATCTTACGAAACATGTCTCTGTTCAGTGTTAAGGAAACAATGAAGCACAATAAAAGCAACACTGAAATGATAAATGTAGCTGAGCTACTGGGGTACCAGCCCCAGACAATTGACAAAATTGTTTCCCAATGGAGAAACATACATTTGTTGAGGTGGGAATCAACTGAAAATAGTTTTGGAGCGAAGTTTATAACTACACAGACGCTTCTGGGTCAAAACCATTCGAAGAACTGTGCAAAGCTGCACCGACTGTCCTCTCCTTGCCACACTCAAATGCAGAGGTTGAACGGCTGTTCAGCCAAATGAGTGTGGTCAAGTCAAAGTTAAGAAATAGACTGTCACTGCACGCTCTTAACTCCATACTCCTTGTGCGGTATGGACTGAAGCTGGCTGGTGATAATTGTTACCAGCATAAACTACTCAGTGACTTTCTACAACAGTTTGGCACCACTGCAACATACAGTTTTAAAGCCATTCCATCCTCTTCTGCTGATACCAGCTCATTGACAGAGCACCTGGACAGTGAAGATGAAGATGATTTGCTTGCTAATCTATGAATCATCAAAGAATGGAGTTTCTGTAACTAGTGGAATCAATGGCAGTGTACACTGCATTGTGAATGAAAAAAGTGCCAGAGAAAACACTGAACAGCTAACCAGACAAGAAGAACCACCATCCTAAGTGATGCCTAGCAACAGACACATTATATCACATTCAAGTTAAAATGCTAGCTACAATTGTTTGATATAATTGTTCATTTACTGATACCTTGTTATTAACATGTACAATTGTTGTTCATTTAGGTAGCATATTAACTACCAATACAGTGGTTTAATTGTTGTTTAATTGTTGTTAATTGTTAATTTCAACAAAGTAAAAAAGAAAATAGCCTACATAAACTGTGATTGTTCAAAAGAATGTAACTGTTCAATATCAGTGTTATATTTAAAAATAAAAATATCTGATCAAAAAGGTCTTGTGTTTGTATTACTTTTACAAATAGCCCACTACACGTATATTACTTTTTTCAAACAAATCTAAATTAACATTTTAAATAATGTTTTTGCTGAGGTGGCCAGTCAATTTGAGAAAACTCATTGTGTTTTCTGTATATTACATAAAGATGCAGTTTTGCCAGCATAATATTTCTTTATATGCTGATGATGTTTTGTTTTATATGGAGTCTCCTAAACGATCTAATCCAAAACTCCATTCACACAGACTGCATTTAAAAACATAAGAGACGCAGTGAAAAGGAATAAACCTCCACAAATTCGTGACGTGTTTTCTAAAAGTTTAAACTCTTTTAACTTTGCATGGCTTTCTATACATCTCTCGTGTGAGACGTCAGTGCAGCAGTCGTATTTGTCCGTCTAAAAAAATGAGCCTGATATGCGTTCTGTGTGAATGGCTTGGTTTCGGGTTTAACCTACTCAAGATCTTCTACGCATTGAGCTACTATATTTCTTTAATATTTTGAATGAATAACACAGCAGCGGCGCGTCTCGTGGGCTAGACTAACAAAACTAGAGCCAGACCGATATGGATTTTTTTGGGGGCAGATACGATATTAGGGAGTAAAGAAATACCGATGCTGATATTCTTTTATGTGTACGCTATATTATAGTACAGTATAGTCAAAAGTTTGGACACACTTCCCATTCGTGTGTCCAAACTTTTGACTGGTGCTGTATATAGAATACAGTATATAGCCTACATAAACAGAATATATATACATAAACACATTTTTTGCAATCATAACTCAAATGTGGTGATCAAACACGTATAATGATGTGACAAACATAGGCCTATGAAGTGGAGCCAGGGAATTTAACAATAAACTTTATTATTGAAAATGAGTCTGAGATCAGTGCACTTAACAGTAAACTTCACTACACTTATTATAAATAACACAAATAGAACAATATATATATATATATATATATATATATAACTTGAATTAAGATATTAAACAAGGTAACTGTGTAGGGCAAGCAAGCTACTGCCAAACCAACAGTGGCAGGTTTATGCAGGAAGCACAGCTTTTCCAAATGTAAACATCTAAAATGAATAAATAATAATAATGAATAATATTTTTTTCACAAA